GATAGATAGATAGATAGATAGATAGATAGATAGATAGATAGATAGATAGATAGATGGAGAAGGAGGAGGAGGAGGAGGAGGAAGAGGAGGAGGAGGAGGAGGAGGAGAAGAAGAAGAAGAAGAAGAAGAAGAAGAAGAAGAAGAAGAAGAAGAAGAAGAAGAAGAAGAAGAAGAAGAAGAAGAAGAAGAAGAAGAAGAAGAAGAAGAAGAAGAAGAAACAAAATTAACAATTGTACAGAAACATAAATAGGTTACAAGGATAAAATAAGTCAACCAGAGGAGACATGGAGCTCATCTCGTTCCTAGAAAGTTCTCCCTTTGGAAAACTCCTTTTTGGGAAAAAAAAATGTTGGAAAACTCAACCTTCTCAACTCAACCAACCCATTTGAATCTAAAGTTCCCTTCAAGCTGGTTCATCTTTGGCTGTTCAAATATCTCTTGGCCGGTCAGCCTACCACTGAATTAATGTGTTGTTATTTGAAGTGTCATGCCCTCCATTTTTGCCAAGATTTTCCTTTTTAACAAGGGACAGCTACCGAGTTATAGCATTTTCTTTCCACGTCACTTAAGGGCACCCCAGTCTGCCATTGCCTTTTTAAAAAAAGTTGCTAGGGTGAATCTGTAGCAGGGATCTTCAACCTTGGCGACTTTAAGCCTAGTGGACTTCAACTCCCAGAATTCTGGGAGTTGAAGTCCACTAGGCTTAAAATTGCCATGGTTGGAGACCGCTGATCTGTAGGATAGGATGGGTTTTAGCTTTCTAAAATGATCCTTAAATGTTCAATTTCGTAATGGGAAAGGAGTTCACAACAAAAATGGTGGTATTCCTAGATCTGTGCCCATGGCTGGTGCAAACATGATGACCATATAACATGTGATAAAGGTGTTCCACCAGCTTTATTCAGCACAACAACATATGATAATTATTATAATTTTTCTAGAAAGAAACGCCTATCTTCTTGCCACAATTTCAGAAACATAAGCACAGAAAAATAGAACATGGAACTTTTAGGCTCTTTTAACTAGGAATTGAGATACAATTGTAATACAACTAGGAATAGAATACAATCCCATATGTATTTGCACAAACCATCCCAGTTCTGCAGGAATAGAGAGTTTAAATCTTTTGGGCACTTCCTGGGTGGAAAATGTACTGTATCACAATTTGGAGAAATATGAAATCTGAAGGATAACATTCCAAAGCTTAAGTTGAACATCAGAAATCAGTTTTCTTTGTGACAAACACAATATAAACTCCTTAAGTTACTCTCCATGAAATGATAGACAGAAAAAGGGGACATTTCAGGAATCTGATGCAATCAGATTAAGGTATTTATGTACCATGCTCACATTTTCATCTAGGAAGGATCTTCTTCCCTTAAGCCACAGCTTGCCTTTGGATGACACGACTTGCTAAAAGTTGGCAAGAAAACCCGTAGACCTTACAGTTTCCATTTCTTTTTTTAAAGACATTTTAGTGGCCCAGAATAAAATCAAGACTGGACCACCAAGATGCACACAAGGTGAGAACAAATATAACGTCACAAACATCCTCCATGGCTAAGTTTTAAGATTGTACAAGTTAGATCTTTAAATTGACATTCGTGTTCAAGATTATGGGTCCTTCAAATAATCTATGGTAATATAAAATAGCATGAACTGAACACATGGGGCACACTCCACAACAAGAAATTAATTGTTCTGTCCATTTTGTTCTGTTTATCACCTAGTGATCCATCCAATGGAAAACCAACCATCTGTTGACTCCTTTAAGTTTCCTTCAACTTTGTTCCTCTGTGGCTGCTTCAAAAATCTCTTGGGCAGTCACCCTAATCCCTGAAATTAATCTGTCATCCATCAGTTATTGACAAAAGTGAACAGGTTGGGATGGCGAACTCAAAGAGGAGGAAAAAAAAGCACATGTCACCAGAGCTTCAGGTTGTCCACACACACTCACCCACACAAAAACAATCTTTTGAGCTCTTCAGGAACACACAAGCTCACAAACAAAACAATCTTTTGAGCTCTTCAGGAACACACAAACTAACTGTTTCTTTTCCCATAAAACTTCTTGTTTTCCATTTGTTCATTCTGCTATTTCTAGGAGCTTTATGGAATAGGAACCGAGCAAGAGAAATGAGAGAGAGAGAGAGAGAGAGAGAGAGATGGCCTGTCAAAGAATAATATCCGTGTTTTCACAATCAAGCGTTTGTTGCTTAATCTTTCTCATGATACTTAGCTGAAGATCGCAGTGTTCTTTGAGCTTTATTGTTGCTCAGCAAAGCCCCAAAACAGACTTCCTATGTAATGCAATTTCTTTTCTGATAAACACATTTGGCCTGGCTCCACAGGTGCCTAAACATATGGTTAGCTTTAGCTTACAAAAAGGCCTTTCTCCAAACAAGCCCTCCTGAACCTCTGAGAACTACGGACGGCCTACTGAATCACTGCGTCGCTTGCAAACCAGGTCCTTCTTCATCCATAAGATTCGCTTCCAATGCCATTTTTTTTATAAAAAAAAAATTCACGCCCCTCCTAACCTCACATGCACCATGGTACAATGTAGGGTAGCCCCACTGAGCACAGACAGCACCAGTGAAGCCCTTGCAATTTTACTACCACGCAGATTAGATTAGATTAGATTATCGCCTCCTATCTATTTTTTTAAAAAGCAGCATTAAAAATATGACATTTCTGGACAAGAGAAGGGAGGGGAGAGCGAAGGGCAGCCAATGGGTTAAAAAAAGGAAAGGGAGAAGATGAGCAGCTGAGAGAAAATGTTGCCATGCAAGAAGAAATCAATTTGGATGGCTCAGGTTGATAATGCCACGCGATCTTTTTCCTTGTCTGTGCAACGCTATCAAAACTCTTTGCTTTTTTAACTCTTCTCCCGATGGTTTAAGCGATAGCTCTGAAACCTTTCATTAGGAAGAGGGGGTGGGTGGGGGGAAGTCCCTTTCATTTGAGGTTTGTTATCAACCAGTTGCTGCTTTCTTCTTATCGCCAAGAAGATCCATTTGTAAATTAAACGTTATCCCCCTCCTCCAAAAAAAAGAAAAAGAAAGAAAAATTCTCCCTCTGCCTTCAAACTCCCTGATCTTATTGAAAAGAAGGATGGTTCCCTATTGTTCTCTCAGCATGAGGACAAAAAATTCTCTTGTACAGATTGTGTGTGGTCAACTTAGAAAGACAGGGGAGGGGGGGGAAAGCCCATTTAATTCAAGGATTACCTCCCTCCCCACTTCTCCTGCGACACTAAAATCAGATAATAGGTAGTTTCCATGACTTCCAAATTAAATCTTCGAAGGGCGGGGCCGGGAGAGAAACATTAAAAAGTTCTGAGGATGGAGAAGACAAAAAAGGGAGATAATATAAAATCCGCCCCCCCCCCCCTTTTCTTTGATAAGTTAAAACCAATCCAAGTTCAAAACAAGCCGTGTTGGGCTTATCAAAAAAGAAAGAAAGAAAAAGAAAGAAAAAAAGAAAAATTGCGTTCGATTCTGTTTTCTTTTAAAGGCCGTAGAGTTTGTGACATTGGTGCCAGATGGATACTTTTGTTTTAAGTTTATACCCCGTCTCCAGAGTTTTGAAAACAGAGGGGGTGGGGAAAAAAAGTTGTGTGTTGAAGTTAGTAACTAGGAATCAATTTAACCTAGGAACATTTGACCATCTCGTCTCTTAGCAGACGTACGTGATTAGAATTTTAGGACTTTTGGCAAGAAGACGTCAAATATTAAATACAACAATTTGTATATACTGTCGTGCTTATTTTATTGCCTAACACAACATATACTTTTGCGCATATGCCTGTGTGCACACACACAACACAACACACAACTCACTTTAAAAGCACTGTATTTTTTGACAACTAATCTTAAATGCTTCTATCCCTTTCAGACGCTCATTTCAAAAACCAAGAGGAATCCATTCTGAATACTGTCAGGTGAAAAACATTTTTCTCTTCTCTTCTCCCATTTCCATATCTAATGGTGAGGCTTCCCTCTACGTTTCCAGCCAATTATAAAGCAACAAAAGCCATTCTGTTTATTCACACATTTTGAACAAAATGCATTAAAACTATTATGTCAGCATGTTCTATTAAGCTCGGCATTCAGTCGAAAAATACTTTTTCAACCAGATCACATTTATCAAAACATAAAGCCCACTTTAAAACATGGTTTTGCTTGGTCAGCTGTGCTTAGACAAATAATGACAGATTCAGAAACTAACTAACTAGTGAGGAAAATCAGAAAAAGCAACTGATGAATTATATGCAGAACAATGGATTTGCTTCCAATCTATAGCACGCCTGTGCTAAAAAAAAAATAATCAAAACGTGTCTTAAATCCTCCTCTTCACCTTTATAAGGCTGCCTTATCTGCCTAATTTGCAAAAAGACACTGTTCTATATTTTACCCTACCAACATTTTTCTCTCTTTTGCTAGAAAACAAGTAAAAAGGCTCAAATATCAAACAGAGAATGTGTGCAGTTTTTCTAGAATTGTCCATACTTTCTAATAGTCAGGAACTATGACCCACATGCTAACATTAGACATTTCATTTATTTTGGAAAAGGGAATGCTATTGTTTTTAGGAAAATATGGTGTATATATTTTGTATTAAAAAAAACAACAACAACCAAGTTTTCTTTTCTTTTTTTTTAATTCCTGCAAAAATTTTCCCCAAAAGAATACCTGAAAGGACTTTCCCCCCACAAATTAAATCTGGCAAACTTTACATTTCCCAATGTTCAAAATAAAAATATATTTTTTTAAAAAATATGAAGATACATTTTCAATAACATCTAGCCACACTTCTAGTTTTGATAGAAACCAGAAAATTCTCACTAGCTTCAACCCTTGTTCAAAATCAATTTTTAAAGTTTAGAGATGCTTCTTGGGTGCAATTTGCATAGAAGGTGGTTTAGGGCCTTGGGAATGGTGTGATGCATA